ACACCGCAGGGACGTCGTGTCCTCCATTTCTTTAACATTTTGAGGAATGAGAAGCTTTCGCTTTCGTGTAAGAATCTCACCATCGCTTGAATTTCTTCCATTGTTACGCAGGCGAGACTTCGTCTACAGACTGCAGTCTCTTCTGAGGCAAGAGTTTAGTCGAACTGGGCAAAAAAGAGATGCTACGCGGAGTCGGCAAAGAGCTAAATGGTCTTTATATCATTTAACGGCTTTCCTCCTTGTTGTATTAGAATCTAGATACTTTAAAGTCCGTGATTTATAACCAAAAATCAATGCCCAGAAAAAAAACTGATGTCGTAATCGTAGTTCGGTCTGGTCATTTTCAGCAGTAACAGCTTATGCGCCGCCTCAAAATCTCCTTTTCTGTAACTTACATTGTACGATCCGAAGAAGCGGATGGATGCTCTGAAATCTTATGACTGTGATGCGATTGAATTCAAGACCAGTTCCATGTTATAGGGAAAATACAGGAAGCGTTTTACGTGACTCATTTACCGATTGCTGTTATTAGCCTTCATTTAAATCATTTGTTTCAAAAATATCCGCATTCAATTATGTAAATTAACCGTGTTAGCTACACAAAAGGCAATTTATACATAGTCATGTATAGCAAAGTATGTCTGACGGTTTTCCATGAAACTGACCTTGTGATTTTCAATCAGTGTATGATCCACTATTAATCTCTGGGTACGAAAAATGAATCTCAAGCTTGACAGCTATTCATGAACTGAACGGAATACACCAAACAAATAAAAAGATGTATGTTTGGAACAAGAAAAAATTGGAAAATGAAGGAATTGGTAAGGGCCAAAACAGGAATTCAAGGAGTCATTTGCCTGAGTACCTGACTGATGAGGTTATAGAGGCATGGGACAGGGTGCAACAAGAAGAACATACTATTGCTGGTCCATCGAGACATTCGATTGGGTTCTAAGAGAAAGGAAACGGCCCGTACGATGATCTTCAGGTTGATGGGTTTTGAGGAAGTTCTTACGGAGCGTCGAGTAAGAATCGTAGCCATTAGAAGATCATGGCAAGATCTTGGAAGGACTGTCGTTCAGAAGTGAATTGAAAATGGCTGACAATGACTCCAATTCCAGTTTCATTATGAGACTCGAATTTCGACTTTTGTTAGAGAAACCAATGTCCTTGCTTTGCTATGTCTTTAGAAGACAAACCATTTAAATGGGAACTCGTTTAAAATGTGGCAAAATAACACAATGGCCGTTTCTGGTATGGCAAACTTATAAGCCTTATGATGTGGGACAGAACGCACTACGCTGGATGGCTACTTCGCGTTGCTTCCACTGCTGGTAGCTGAAAAGACCTTCTTCGAACGTGGCGAAAATGTTTTACCTCCAGATACCTCTCACGGGCATTTTATGTTGAGAAATCCTGAGGGATGTTTGTTTTGGTTTTCGATCAGGAAATATCAGGTGGCTACCTTTGACCAAATGCTCTAATTTGAAAAATATCTGAAGTCAAGCCAGTAGAGGGTTAAAACAAGGTCGTGACTGCCATGTAAACATGCAGGCTTTTCTTAGGTTCTCACTGATTAGGGTGCTCTCAGCAGAGCGGTCGTGTTTCGTTACTTTACCACAGAACCTCGCTTTCCAGTTTGGAGTCATAGCTTCCCCTTGACGAAATGAGTCCAACGGATCGATGAAGCGTTGTGAATTTTGACGAAGACCAACAAACAAACACTTATCAAACATTTATCCCTCCTCTTCAGTAAAATCGATGCAAATGAGTTGTTCTCTGTCCACCCTATCCCTCAACATTCTCTCACTCGACGCCTCAAGTTATGTTCCATCTACGGCTCTGGCACAAAGCCTCATGGATTCTATTAGGAGAGGAAAATTTTTCAAAGCTAACTCAGCTTGTCCTCAGAGTAGTCTACATCAAAGGACTGAAAAGGTCTGTGTGGAACCGGATTCAGTCTGTCAATCTACCTCCAACAGAAAATGGCGAAGAAAACTTAAACTTACGCATTATTTAAGCCCCAACATGAAGCTACCTGTACTTCATGAAAGTGATGAAACATTCAGTAAAGTTTCCTCTGCGATAGTTTCACAAAAATATCTAAAGGGAATATTCCCTTTTCTGTATTTGGGAACAAATAATAAGAGATAGATCAGGTACATTCTAACGCCGAGTATCCCAGTTGAGCTAAAGCTTTTTTGTACCTGAAACAAAATTGCGTTTTTATTGAAGAATGATCTCCATAATGCCATTTAAATGTTCGGAAAAATGGATCAATTTTCGAAGTTGTTTGAGGATAATATAAATATCGCGAATGCATATCAATCATATCAATATTCATACCGATTTAGACGCGGAAACGCACTAGTGCCTTGCTCTTAATTGCACAGGGGAAGAATTTCCGTCGGACACCACTCGATGGTGTAGTGCATTGGTTGCAAGGCCGCATATCTGAGTTGTGTTTAACGTGAGCATTTTCGAGCACAAATTAAATCTGCCACTATCCGTAGGCAAATGCGGTACAGTGTATCCCTCTAGCCGCTATTAATCGTAGTTTTCCATCCCCTGCTAAATATTACATTTCAGTTACTGATACCGAAAGTTGCCAAAGATACCAAAGTTACTGGCACCGAAGCTTAACTTTAACCATCACCAAATCGTGATCGCTGCTGCATACACCACTTATGCACACTCTGAAATTTGCTATGTATCTTCCATGACTTCCGGTGACAAAAAAATGGAACAAAAATTTCACCTGTTCCACAGCGTACCATGCTTTCTTCGCAGAATCTTATACTCTTGAAAAAAGATGAACCTCGTGATTTATCATGGTGTTAAAGTCGACAGAGTTAAAGTTACAACATAAGCCTCCTACCTGTCTTACCCCC